GAACCTTTGAGAAAGAGCTCGAGAGACCTGGAAGGTGGGCGGGGCGAAGGGTGGAGCCAGCCCCAGTCCGGGGGCATATAACGAGGGCCCCGTGAGGAGATCGAGGTTCTTCGTGTGCTGGTGTTACGAAGATCCACGTCGGAGAAGAGAAGCCTCTAGCCAATCGGTCCAGGACCCAGCTTGTGGTCCGGACCGGGATAGCGAACTGTGTCTAGTTCTGCCGTAGCGTGGTTAGATGGGCATTCGAGACCCGAGTGTAGATCGTGTTATGTTGCATGCTGTTGTATAATAAATAGTGTTGCACCCAAGATAACGTCTGCGACTCAGTTGGACTTTTTATTCACTGGAGACACGAGTGTCATTAAAATGTTATCAATAGACCTGTATTGTACACAAACAAATTGTGATGCTGCGTTGGCAGTGGGGCATAAGAACAAATAAAAATACCTAAACACAATCGCCAACAACACTGTCGAAAAGAGGAAAAAATATATCATAAGCGATACTGTGCAATGGCCCTTCTTTTATTTCTCCCCTATGGAGGACCATTGCCCAAATCAATGCCTGTTATTTATTTTTTTCCTCTTTAGGACACAGGTATTGGGGAATACATATTTCACACAGGTGGGCATTTTTAACAGAGGAGAAATAAGGCATTAATACCTCATGGATATGTTTTAGCTTGATAATACGTAAAGGCTTATTACAAAGTTGAGGGCTCACCATGGCTTAAACCCCTTATAAATATTCAGTAAATGCTAACGCATTACCTCCAAACTTCTACAATTACTCTAACCAAATACAGTCAATTCTAGATTTGAAGTTTTCGTGACTGCAATGATCCAAACTCTTTGGTTCTTTTGGTAAAGTCACGTAGATGAAAAATACAAATAATAATACAAATAATAAAATGATAATAACTAAATTAAATCACGACGTTTCAGAGGCAACACAAGCTTCTGTCATCAGGTGTAACAGCCACAGTAAATTACTGTAGTGAAGAGAGAGAGCTATTAGTGACAAGCGATTATATAGGGTAAGAGGGGGGGAGGAGCCAGGGAGGAGGGATCTTAATTGCTTTCATAGCTTTCTCCCATACTCACATTTCCAGTTTCTATTTCTACAGCACGCTACTTCCCCCCCCTAGACCCACGCAGACCATTGTATCACCAGCCGTTGCCTGACACACAATATTAAACACGTTCCTTCGGAGTGGGCAGGTAGGAACTTGGTTGGACAGCGCGGCGTTCAGCGGGGGGGGGGGGGGGGGGGGGGCAGTTGGATGAGTGGGCGTGTTTACCCTTCCCCCCCACCCTCCCCGACATCGTCAACCAATCGCGGCGTAGCTCAGTGTTCGGTGGGGAGGTGCATTGGTGGGCGGAATTCCGGATATGCACGACAGACAGACAAATAATCCCTGGTGGGCAATGTGGAACCTGTTGTTCCTACCTGTATAACACTCTAGGTAACTAAGACTCACACACACATATACTCACTCTCAGACTCACACACACACTCTCAGACTCACACACACACACTCACTCTCAGACTCACACACACACTCACTCTCACACTCTCAGACTCACACTCTCAGACTCACTCACACACACACTCACTCTCACACTCTCAGACTCACACACTCACTCTCACACTCTCAGACTCACACACACACTCTCACACTCTCAGACTCATACACACACACTCACCCTCACACTGTCAGACTCATACACATACACTCAATCTCACACTCTCAGACTCACACACACACACACACTCTCACACTCTCAGACTCACACACACACTCACTCTCACACTCTCAGACTCACACACACACACTCACTCTCACACTCTCAGACTCACACACACACACTCACTCTCACACTCTCAGACTCACACAGACTCTCACACTTTCAGACTCACACACACACCCTCACCCTCACACTGTCAGACTCACGCACGCACACTCACTCTCAGACTCACACACACACACACTCACCCTCACTCTCAGACTCGCACACACACACTCACTCTCACACTCTCAGATTCACACACTCACCCTCACTCTCAGACTCACACACTCACTCTCACACTCTCAGACTCACACACACTCAACCTCACACTCTCAGACTCACACACTCACACTTTCAGACTCACACACACTCTCAGACTCACACTCACTCTCACACTCTCGGACTCACACACTCACACTTTAAGACTCACACACACACACACTCTCAGACTCACACACACACGCTCCCACTCACACGCACACTCAGCGCGGCGTTCAGGGGGGATGCAGTTGGATGAATGGGCATGTTTACCCTTCCCCCCCACCCTCCCCGACATCGTCAACCAATCGCGGCGTTGCTCGGTGTTTGGTGGGGAGGGGATTGCATGAGTGGGCGTGTTTCCACCCCACCTCTACCAATGGCGGGCCCGCTCGGCGTTTGGGAGGTAAGTTGGATGATTGGGCGTGTTTACCGTCCCCCCACCCTCCCCGACATCCTCAACTAATCGTGGCCCTGCTCGGCGATCAGTGGGGGGGGGGGGGGGGGGTGCATGGGTGGGCTGCATTCTGATGCACAACAGACAAAACACGTTCCTTCGGAGTGGGCAGGCAGAACTTGGTTGGACAGCGCATTCGTGCACGACAGACAAATATGCACGACAGACAGACAAATAATCCCTGGTGGGCAGTGTGGAACCTGTTGTTCCTACCTGTATAAAAGATAACTTGACTTGAGGTAGCCAGGCAGCCAGCCAGGTAGCCAGCCCCCTTAACTATCGGCCCCTCCCCCTCCCTCAGGCCCCTCCGCTGACCCCCCCCCCTCCCTTAGGCCCCTCCCCTGACCAACCCCCCATATCCTTAGGCCCCTCCCCTGACCCCCCTTCCCTTAGGCCCCTCCCCTCTCCGTACCTGGCAGTAGGTCTCCACCAATCAAAGAGCTGTTTATATTATACATATATTTATGCATGACAGTCAGACAGACAAAAAATCCCTGGTGGGCAGTGTGGACATTGTTCCAACCTGTATCAGCTTAACTTCCGCCCCGACTCCTCCACACACCGCCCCCCCTGCATTCCAAAAGGATGTTACTAATCAGCTTAACTCAGCTTATCTATTAATCGGCTTAACTTCCGCTCCCAAGTCCACACACCGCCCCCCCCCCCCTGCGTCCTAAAAGGACGTTATTAATCAGCTTATCTCACCCCCCCCCCCCGACTCCGCACGCTCCCCCCCTGCATCCCTCCTCCCTGGCTCCTCTCCCCCTCTTACCCTATATAATCGCCTGTCAAAACAAATAGCTCTCTCTATTCACTACAGTAATTTTGCTGTTGCTGTTCCACTTGATGACGGAAGCTTGTGTTGCCTCCGAAACGTCGTGATTTAAAAAAAAATGTCATCTACGTGACTTTACCGAAATACTGTCAACTTATGAAGGGCCACTGTGTGAAACTTTAGTTTCTTGTATAAATGATAGGAGAGACCACTTTTATGATGGGTCCTTCGAACAAACTAAGTCCCCCCTTTTAACTATAGACAGTTGAGGCATGTTGAAGACCCTTATAATATGTCCATTGTTATGGTCAGCAGAGCACATGAGGCAGTTTATCCAGCACCACTCATTACCAACTGTCTTTGCCTCCTTTCCGGTTACATTCACTCATCACATCAGTTATATTACTTATTTTAGGCTGAGTTGACCTTGTGAAGACAAAGTCCTAGGTTCATATATTAGTTGCCCTTGGTGTTGTGCACCAATTTCAGGAATCGAAGCTGCGTTATCTGGATGAAATCAGTGTGCTCAGAACTACACCATTTCTCAACCACAAACACACAAATATTCCACCACTATGTTGCAAATAGGCTGTTTGGGGGGCACCAGAGGACAGTGAGAAAAATCCATTGTTGTACTTTACTTCTACACTCCTGTGTCTATGCTCCCCGTGTTCTACAACCAGCACTGACCTGCGTGGTGATGAATGGTCAAATAACCCCCACGATCGAATGGCATGGGAGGTCATTCACAAGTGGCTTAATAATGGACTGTACATGTACTTTGGATAAAAGTGTCCAATTTTGCCTTCAAACTAAAAAAAGGCACCATTCACCACTAAGTGAGAGTGATATTACCAAAGAGCCGGTGCCAAGCTCTTTGCAATTTGAGGCAACAAGATGAGATAAAGTCCTGATCGTTGGAGGTCAAAGAAGAGACTTGAGCTTCATGATTTAACAAACTGGGTTAACGGACCAATATACCAAATGTACCAAATCGAAGACAATGATCCCCTGAGGGCCTACAAAGAATGTTTGTGCAAGTACTCTTAGCGGACACCTTAAATGGTCGGCATGGCACACCAGCGGGTGGTGTGGCCAGAACGGTGTGGCCATTTTTAACTCTTGAGTGCAGATATTTACACACCACATCAGATACTTATTTAAGGCTAGGTTGACCTAGGGCAGGTGTCGAAAACCTGTGGCTCCGGAGCCATCTTGTATTCACGTGCATTTTTTACCGAATAAAAAAAGGCTATTCTTGTTATTTGGTGGAAACGACTAACACCACTAATGTTAGCCGTGGCTGGGAATCAAACTTAGGTCACCTGGTTCATAGTGCAGTGCACTAACCACGACACAACCACTCCCCCAGCACAAACACAAAATACAAAGATCCCCCATATAGCCTTAAAGGCGTTTTGGGACAAGTTCTCACAACGAAGGCAGTCGAGGCATAGGAAGGGGTGGGTGACAAGCACCATGCCCGACCGCCTTTATATCCCCAGTGGTGATGTTTGCACATGGCACCAGGTACTAATTTAAGGCTAAGTCGATCTAGGGGAGGCTCAGTTCATATAATTGTCACTGGTGTTGGTAGTGAGTGGAAATCGAACTCAGGGCATTGTGTTCATAATGTGCTACCCACTGAACTCACCGCTGCACTACAAATCCCTACTCACACACGCATAGACAAAATGGCATGTACGCCTGCATATCTGACCAGTCTGGCGGCAAGGGTCGGGGCACGGCGTCCAGTCACTGAACGGTGAGAGAGTGCAGTCCCGGCGACATGGCACGAGGCAGGCTCTCCGGCTCATGGGGGCTTGGCTCAATGGGCACCTGAATGGACAAGGGGGGGTAGGAGAAATGAGCAGTAAGTTGGGGACCATGTGACCATTAGATTGTCAGGAATATTCTTCCATATAGGACTTCTATAAATACATACTAAGACAAAAAGCGAAGAACCGCCATGTAGCCTGAACAGACTGTTGGAGCAAGTGCTGTTAGTAAGTACCTATTAAGGCTGGCACAGCACATGAGGGGGTTGGTGGCCAGTACCATGCCTGTTGACCTTTGTCTCCCCCATGCTGATGTTTAAACACCGCACCAAGTAGTAATTTAAGGCTAAGTAAACCTAGAGGAGGTCCAGAATAAGTTCATATATATGCTGTTATCGGTTGTGGGTGGGAATTGAACTCAACTGCTGAGTTTGTAGTGCAGTACACTAACCATTAAAACAACAGCCGCTATTCACCAATAAGTGGCGGTGGCATCACCACAGTGCCTGTGCCAGGTCAGGTGCAATTTGAGGCCACATGAAGTGTGGAAAGCTCGCTTAAAGGAGGTCACGGGATAGACCCAAGTGCCATGGGTTGACTGACTCACTAACCATTACAAATGTACACACACACACAACAAATCCAGGTGGTAATGTTCATTTGCACCTTACTGTTGGTCTACTGGGACCATTTTTATAAAGAGTAGCTCATTTGAAATGGCTAAGTCTAACTGGAAATACATTAAGAGGGTTCTGACACATTTTAACTGCACCTTATCACACCAAGAATACATACAAATGTAATTTGGTAACTGTGTGACAAAACAGAGATGGCACTGAGGCGTTTACCTGCACTGCAGACATATTAATGAAAGGTAGATTCTTGGTGAGGCTCAACTTTCAGTTTTAGATGAGAACTGTCCTTTGGAAGAAAGGTGCGTCACCTTCATAAACTTAAAAAATATGACTGGTATAAAAAAAAATACCGTTGAAGGAATTTGGGTTCTGACCAAAAATAATTTAAACATTGAAAATTTCACATATTTTTAAGATACTTTTGTAAGTGTGTTTTTTGATAGTCTAGAAGTTTATAAATGCATAATTGGATTATCTACGAAAAAATTATAATACAATTATGGCCGCTTAAAAGGTTGGAATTTGTAATATATTTAAACTAGCCTTTTGCCTGTCCAAGGACGGGTGTATTGCAGTAAATCTGAAACTTGCAAGCAAAAAAGCAGACCGCGACGTGATATTCATTGCACTAATGGCGTGTGCAATTTGTAAGTGTGCGGTGACACATACTTATTTCATTTTAAGTTTATAATCCCTTGTTCATCATGACGTCCATTTTACTTTAATGTCTCAATAGTGTTACGGAGATCTGAGGGTTCTGCCTTTGTAGTGAGGGTTGTAAGTTGACGCCGAGGAGGGGAGGAGGAGGCGCCTCGGCCCAGGGACGTCAGCCGTTAATTATAATAAATTGGGGGGGGGGGGGTGTCCATTTGGAGGACGTCACCTTATGCTTATTAATGAGGGGGGCTGTTCGATGTGAAGTGACGTCACCTACTCATGATTATTAATAAGGGGGAGGGTGCTCCATGTGGAGGACGTAACCTGTTCATGATTATTAATGAGGGGGGCTGGTCGACGTGGAGTGACGTCACGAGCGTTGCGCACAGACATTCTTGGCTCATTATAGTAGGTAATAATAATGGCGGGAGGTCCATTAGGAGGACGTCACTTGCTCATGATTATTAATCAGGGGGGCTGTTCGATGTGGAGTGATGTCATTTGCGCGTGATTATTAGTGAGGGGGGGAAGTACTCCATATTGAGTGCTGGATTGTTGTAACAGCTCTCTCGCTGGTTCAGTAGTTCCACTGCTGGATTATCTTTTTTCTGCCTGAAGACGGCCGCTTGTGTTGTGATCGAAACGTCGTGATATGTTATTTTTTGTTTTGTTTTTATACCTACGTGACTTTACCGAAAGAACCAAATAGTATAGACAAAACTATCATTAGATTTTGTTGCAAAATGTGTTTTAGTAGACATATTAAGGTTATCACAACACATGCGGATATGTGGCCAGAGCACCACATATGGAAGTATTTTATTTCTCCAATGACAGCATTCACAAGTTGAAGGCTAAGTTGACCTAGAGTAGAACTAGAAACATCACTTGACACTGATGTTATAAATGGCTGGGATTCGAACTTGGGTCATTAGCATTTCAGTCCAAAGTGCAAATCCCGCCACCACCACTCCCTTCACATAATCACACAGTCACACATAACCCAAGTAAATTGCACACTTACACAAACGGCATACATGATATTAGCTGTAAAAAACAATATCTAACAAGAAATAGATACATTGAAGCTAATTTCAGTAAAAAAAAACAGCTCTTAAGTTTACATAGCATTATTACCTGAAGTTTTCACAATGCAAGATATAAAGGCATTAAATTAACAACGTATGGAACAAAAGGTCGTTAATCATAAAAATGCTTACACCTTGATGTACAACGAGCTGACTCTGCACCGACGGCAAGCACAGGTGACTTGGTGCAATTACTCGTTATTATAATATTTTTTTTTTAAACAAACCCAGGAGGCACAAGCTGACACGTCCCTGTCCACGCACAATATGTAAAGGACCCCACGCTGCTAGGGCAGCTTCTATATTTTCGGGCCTTGACAACATTCTCTGTGGGCACAGGCTGTGTGGTGTGTGTGGTCTCCAGGTATCAGTAGTTAAGTAATCGTGCAATGGCAGCATTAGTGACACAACCCAAATCATTAAGTCAAGGTTCTTGCTGCCCCACTGGCTTGAGGGACTGTCGATCAATGCAGAATTGTATTAAATAAGCACGCTCATACACTCCCTGCAGAGGGTCTTTGCATAAAATTGGGCCTCTGGTGGCATCAGACTGCAGAGATGATGAGTGGTATGACCACAATTAGCTTCTTTCTACTGCAGGTGTGCTGCCACTAATTCATTGGTAACACGCTGTGAGCTTTAGACATTTCTAAAGGGGTAAAGTGACACAGTATCGTCACGTACATGTTACGTTGAGAGTACGTTTTTTGTTTTTTAATGTAAATATTATCCTTCAACACACTACTTGAAATGCATCACCATAATATATTTACACAGAAACTAATGCTCTTTGCACTACTGTGTGAGTTGCTGGTCTTAAACCCGAGGTTGTAAATCACACCGTGTTTAAAAACAATACAGGACAACGAGAAGAAAGGAAATGCTAGCTTTCAAGTTGATGTGAAATTAATACTGCACAGCTTGACATCTCTGGCACATGGACTTGGGCACATCAAGGCTAGAGCAAGAAATAGTATTCATAGTAGAGACCAAAACAGTATTCAGCCTTTTTGCAAACTAGAAAGGCTATAAAACAGCATATATTTTAAGTGTCCTACAAAAATCTAATTACACCAACGATTCAATTATACTGTCACAGTGCACATAAGCACTGTAAAATATCTGTGAATTGCTTCATGCATTCGAAAGTTAATTATCAGAAAAGTCCCCAGCTTTAACAGTTGTCGTGAAATGGAGATGCGTTATTCTTGATATAAAGGTGGCTCCTGGTACGGGGAGAGACTCTTTGTTCTGCCTACATTTCTTTAAAATATTCATGAGGCCATACTTTCTCTCCATTTTGTGACAAGCCTTTGCCTTCTGGAACATTTCAGCAATTACCTATCAGATGCACCGCCAGACCCTATACATCTCAGGCACCATTGTTTCCTCAGTGAATATCCCGCAAGGTGTCACGTCAAGTGCTTTTTTTGGATGCCTCAATAAATAATAATTTCCAGGAGATCCCCTTAATCTGCCATCGTCGTGACATTCTCATATAAATAAGTTATTGGTTAGATAAACATGACCTTCCCTTACTGAAACCATGCCAACCATACTTAATCAATATCCACTTTTCCAGTCAAAACATCCGTGTATTCAAGTATTTTATTTAAACGTAATATCTACACGACTCTTGCGAGTTCCAAATGTTCTGTAGTTTACAATATGAGACCTCCTACACCAGTGGCAAAATATAATTGTAGGTTTTTACCCTTTAAACTGGTACAAAACTGACACCTTTATACAAGGGATCATGTTTGCAATAACCATAACACAAGCACTGGTGAAGGAGGTCTCATATTAAAGGAGGTCTCATATTGTAAATGCTTACCCCGAGCTCTCAATACTCTGAGACTGCGCTGTTTTTGAGTTATACGCCTTTTGGCGTCATCTGGTCCAACACCAATGGAGACTAGACTCTAAGGAAAGCTGTCTCGGGTGTGGACCAATCAACTTCAAGGTCAGTGCATATTATTATCATTATCAGAGTTGTTTCTGTTTGTTTGCATTTTGACTGCTTGTATTGTGGTTATTGCAAACATGATGCCTTGTATAAAGGTGTCAGTTTTGTACCAGTTTAAAGGGTAAAAACCTACAATTATATTTTGCCACTGGTAAAGGGGGTCTCATATTGTAAATGCTTACCCCGAGCTCTCAGTACTCTGATAGTGCACTGTTTTTGAGTTGTACGCTTTTTGGCGTCATCTGGTCCAACACCAATGGAGACGAGGCTCTAAGGAAAGCTGTCTCGGGTGTGGATCAATCAACTTCAAGGACAGTGCATATTATTATCATTATAAAAGTTGTTTTTTTTGTTTGCATTTTGACTGCTTGTGTTGTGGTTATTGCAAACATGATGCCTTGTATAAAGGTGTCAGTTTTGTACCAGTTTAAAGGGTAAAAACCTACAATTATGTTCTGTAGTTCTCAATGTTATATTTCACCCTCCCTTGCATGGGGACCACACAATAGAGATATTCAACAGTCTGTAATTGTATGTATGTTGAACTTCTTTCGCACTGCACGTAGCCAACCATGCTAATCGGAGGTGCAGAGGACAACAAACTAAACGCAAAAAAAACAAGATCGAGTTCTGCATGCAATTGAACAAAGCAGACTTAGGTCTTTCTCTTCAGTTTCTCTTAAATTTTGACTGTAATCCCATCCAAGCAACGAGA